CGACATCCCTGAGGGATACGATCTGTTGGCTCCGATGATGTCAAAGACCATTTTCGACCATGGGCCGAAGCGGCACCCACTCTATGTGAAATGTGGCTTAAGGTTACCCCTGCACCCCTTTCTCAAGCAGGTGTTTTAGGCGCTAGGGGTATCTCTGATGCAAATAAAGCCGAACATCATCGCCATCCTCGTGGGTTTTGTGGTGATCTGTCACTGGCTGGGGATAAAACCCTCATTGCTAGTTCTGGGGCGATTGGTGGTCGTGAAGGTGAACCAGAACGAGCCCCATTACCACTTCCAAATGGTGGGGAAGAACATGTTAGTCACCATCCTTTCAGATTCGCACAAAGATTGGAATGAAAGATATGTCTAGATCATAGGGGACGACTTAGAGTTAGGCTGTGCCGACTGGCCTGAAATAAGGAGAGATGCTCTCATGGGCTAGCTGTCTGCTACCGAGAAGATTGAGCTCGATCAAATTAAGGCGTATGATGGCTCTAGGCGATTCGAAGATTTGCTCGACAGGTCGGTTATGCGGGTCGCCGGGGTGTCGATCATGTCTTTTACCAACCAAGATTATGATAGGGCCTCAGCTCTCATTGTAGGGACAGGGGAGGCGACGTCTGTGCTTACGGCTCCTTTGGCTGATCCGCAGGAGGAGCCGTCTGCTAGCCCGCCCAAGCGTCTTTGCCGGAACGTTCCTCCCATAGAGGCAGAGGCAGCCGAGGATAAGGCCGCTCCCTCCCTCGTCCACAGACGGAGGAGGGATGTGGAACAAGTACCTCGAACAACGGTCCATTTGGACGAGTCAGGGGATGGGTCAGCCCCTAGAGAACCAGCCGAGGCTTCTTAAGAAGGGGGAACCGAGACAAGAGTACTTGGTGGTGGAGAGTCGTCTCGTCACCGTCGCGAGTCGACTCGACAGGGGAAGGAGCCAGTTCAGGAGGAGGAGGAGACAGAGCCTTCTACCGGGCTGGAATATCCCTTCCCTCATAGGGTTGCCGACGTCAGGGAGGGAGAACGGGAGACAATGAGGAAATACCTCATCGGGCTCACCGAGTTTGGCGCTCGACATGAACAGGAGCCCGAACCAGAGTTTTGTTTCGAGGCTAAACGCCATCTCGATGTCTGGGGGACCGTCCTTGGGTCTCGCCAGAATCAGTCAAGGGCGGTCGACCAATTCCTTCTTCCTCATCATCTTTGTCCGATGGGTTTTCATCATCACCTTCTTCTTCCCCTTCACGACCAATTCCTTCTTCCTCATCATCTTTGTCCGATGGGTTTTCATCATCACCTTCTTCTTCCCCTTCAGGAAAATCATCTTCTGGGTCGGTACCCCTTAAAAAATTGTGCAAAGTACAACAAGCTAGGATGATTTGATTTTGTATTTTAGTACCCTAATTCGGTTCAGTTGAGCTCGCTATGATGGAAAATCTATTTTTAATAAGCTAAATGCTCTTTCAATGGTATTGTGAAGTGACGTGTGTCTTAGGTTAAACAGCTCACGTTGAGTCCTTGGTGTATTTCTTGAATACTCATTCAAATGGTAGCGTTCTCTTCTATAAGGTGGAACTATTCCACTTCTTAACATGTATCCATCATCAATGAGATAATATTTTTCTTAAAAAAAAGTTTCATTGTCATTAATAACTTTTCAAAAAAAAGGTTTCATTGTCATTAGTAGCTTATTTAGAATTAATAATCACGTTGAGGTATTTTAAGTGGAAATCATCATCGTAAAGCATTTTTTAAAATTTTAAAATCAGATGCAGTACCTTCCCACCCAGGTAAGACATAAGTGAATTTCAAGTTAAATATGCAGGCAGCGAATACATTTTGTGTCGGATGGTCTTTCCTACCACGATATTTAGGAGCGTTAGTAGGAGAAACATTTACTCGGATGTGTGTTCCATCTATTGCTCCAACACAATCTTAACAATATAAGGATTAATTAGTTAAATTCTAATTTTAACAACCTATACAAAGATAAAAAAAATTATGAAATTTATCATCACCTTGAAATATGGATCAAACTTTGAATTGTTGAGTACCTCTAGAGGAATTTGTGATCCATTGGGTTGTACTAAAAATATCTCTTCCAACTCTATCATAGCTCTTAAAACATTATGAAAATGACGACTCGTACTCTCTCCAGATCGACCAAATATCTTACTAACCTCATGAGTAGTTACATTATGTCCCAACATATACAAAAATTTTGCAACTTGTTCCTCAATAGTAACTCTTTGAGTTCGTTTAAGAACTCTTCGTATAATATTTTTTGCACAATATCAGTTACTTCTCTAGGCTCTTGGGGTTCATTGTTTAATCTCCTTCTATTTTTTCTTTGTTGTATGAGCCAATAAGCAATCACACAAAGAATATATTCAATTGTACAATGGCATGCATGTTGAAATTTGACTCAAGCTTCATCCATTATCTATTTGAGGATAAGAAAATAATACAATTAGGATAGAAAATTAAGAATTCTTAATTAATTAGAAACTAATGGTAAATTTAGAAGCTCTTATTATAATACATAAAATTAGCTTATCATGCAATTGATTTTTATCAATCATAAAGAACAGAGCAAGGTACATCTAGGATTCATATGAAGCAAATACATCTAGGATATCATATGAACCACAATAACATCTAGGATATCATGAAGCAAACAAAGTAAAATTTTATAAAATGAACCCTCGATATGATTCTTATGAAGCAAATACATCTAGGATATCATCCTTCTATGAAATCACTATTTTGCCTAATAATCTTGTCAATGGACCTAATAATATATTTTGTTCTATGAAGAAGAATTAGAGCCATTTGACGTATGGATAGAAAGTACATATATGAGTATTTTCACCCTTGAAAACTTGAGACACATAAATAACAACGACGCCATGGAAATTTCCAACAGCAAATGGTTAAGTGATTGTCCCATCAACTAAGTGTTTTAAATTCCTTTCCAATATCATAACCACTAATCCAATCAAAGACCTAAAAAATATTTTCATAAAACAGTCATGCAACAGAGGGGAAAAACCACACTCATGCGACAGAGAGGGAATTATACAGTACAAGAGCAAAATGCACGGATAAAAAATACACAAAACAATAATATTTTCATCCTTGAAAACTTCTGACAGGTAAATAACAATGATGCGAGATAATATTTCCTGTAAAAGCTGGTTGAGAAGTGATCGTCCTGTCAACAAAAGTGTTTCAAATTTCTTTCTAACATCATAACCAGTAATCCAGACCGCAGAGAGAGGAGCGGCGGTGAAAAAAAGGAAGAAATGGGAGAAATGAAGCAGATGTATGGGGTTGTTAGGGTTTTTGATTAAATCCCAAACAATGTTAAAATTACATTTCTCTTCCCCTTCTCCTCTCTACCCTCCATCCAAACAGGTCATTAATGAATTTCAGATTGGTGGTGCCGAGACTAGCAACCTTGACGAAGGGTTTTTGATTAAATCTCAAACAATGTTAAAATTACATTTCTCTTCCCCTTCCCCTCTCTACCCTCCATCCAAACAGGTCATTAATGAATTTCAGATTGGTGGTGCCGAGACTAGCAACCTTGACGAAGGGTTTTTGAGGTTTCATGGTTGGCTTTACAGACACGCACAGAGTAACAGCATACTAATACAATCCAACAAGTATTCCACCTATACAACTAGACTTAAACACGATTTTAAGATTTGTCTCTTTAAGCGTACTAATGTTGGGAAATTTTAGTTATGTAGGTGCAAAATTAGATACTGTATCCACAGGCATTTTTTCAAGATTCTGAATATATCTCCATACATAATGTCATAACTCACGAACCATACTCGACTTAAGTTGCTTTTGGCAGCAAAGCCATAAGTATTAGACTAGTTTTGACTAAGCTCATGGTGTGAGTGTTGATCTAATAGAACAAGTTTCCAAATTTAGGATCCGATTTGCAAGATAACAACATGAATCTTAAGCTAGAATAAGCTCCCAGATAAGGATCTACAATGCAAGACAACAACATGAATCTGACACTAATTCGAAAAACACCAGTTCACACTAGCAGAAAATTTTTCTATTGCAAATAGAAATATAACATAAGTAGGATTATACTTAGGGCTTTTTCTCTTTTAACCCAAAGTTTTACCCTCACTTATTTAAATACCCATCTACTTTTTCAAACATCAATACACCCATTGTACCCATATGACTTAGTTTTAAACCATATGTTCATTATACCTCTCTATCTCTATACGGTATTTTTCCCAAAAATGAAAAACCCGACACTGCCCTTTCTCTCTTCTTCTGATCATCGCTAACAGTAGATGACATTAATGGCAATGATGGCGGGAGAAAAGGGCGGGCTGTTCTCCCACTTCACCAACCCCCAATTTGGTACCCATCTTCAATTTCTCTCTCGTTCTCTCTCTCCTCCATTAATTTCTCCTCTCTTCTTGAGAAATCTCTCTCCTCTATTAATATTTCTCCTCATAGAAGACATTAATCCTACATCAGATCAGTGGTTGATATCTCTTGTGTTCGTTTCTTGTAGTAAAGGAAGACATTTGAAGGTAACTATAAAGTGATTGAGATTCCATCTTTATATCTTGATTTGTTGAAAAATCTAAATTTTTAAATGAGTAAACCTTTATTTTGTTGAATATATCACGTGTAGTGAGTATTAGAAAAGTGTTATACTTTCTTTAAAAAGTACTATGAAAATCCGAGCAATGTAAAAGTTCTATATTTTCTTTATTTGACATGAAAAATAAAAACCATTTATTTATCATTTCTATAGAATGTAGAAAAATCTAGTCTTTGAATATTTAGGAATGGATATTGAATTATATTGTGCAGAGATGTAGAGAATTGCATATTGAATGTCGATGTTGAATTATATCATATACAATAAGAAAATACATGTTAGACTTGTGTTTGTTTGGTAATATTTGATTGTTAGTTAAGTTCCCCACTTATTTTATTTTTTATGAACTTCAGTAATGGATGATGAGCTGTATTATGCAATAATGGACTTCAGAGAAGACAATCATTTGATTCCAATGGATATCAAGGGGACTTTCAGTAATTTAGTGGCTGAGGTACAAAGTAGAATTGCTTCTTTTTCAAGCCCAATGAAGTTGACTTATGAAGTCCCATATACAGAAGAATTGTTTGTATGTGTCCATGATGATGTCGATGTGTCAACAATATTCAATGTACATCTAAGTTGCAAGAAGAAGATAGTTAAGATGCATGTTGACATATATTGAGATATATTATTTGGTCTAGAGGCAAACACCATTCATATAAGGTAATAACTTATTGTATATTGTAAGCTCCATATTTCACAAAATAAATCCATGTTTATTTAATTTTTCTGTAGTTGAAAGAAAAATTAGGACTATATAATATGTTGCCAATGAGCTATAGTACTACACAAGAATTTTCATTTATGTTTCTAGTTGCTAGTCTAATAAGGTAACGGCTTAATGTTTGCAGGAATCCTACCATATCTCTTTTGGAACAACATGCATCCTCGTCGCATAATCCATCCAATTCACAAAATGCATTACGTGAAGTTGAGAGATCTAGTATTCAGATTCCTATTTCATGGTATCATGCCATTAGAAGTGTTGGACAAGAATTTAATGATGTTGAACATCTAAGGCAAAGTCTCGGTAATTACTCAATTGTGCTCAGTTTTAACTTTGATTATTTGAAAAATAAACCTAGAAGATTGATAGTAAAATGTGAGGTTGTTGATTGTGAATGGATGGTTCATTGTAACCGTCGTACAGACTGCAAACGTTTTATGTGAAGAAAATTAGTCATGCACATAGTTGTCTCAAAGGAGGGATAGGAGAGAAGGGACATCCACGGGCGTCTCATAAGTGGGTTGCAAATATCGTGAAATCCATACTAAAAGAACAACCCACGTACCGTGCAATTGATCTTAAAAAGAAGCTTCTGAGAAAGTTTAGTGTTGACATCCCCTATGGAACAGCTTGGTGTGGGAAAGAGCTTGCTCAACAGGAGTTATATGGGTATGCAAAACATTCATATGAACAACTTAGATGGTACAAGGATAAAGTTATGAAAACTAACCCAAGATCAATCATCCATCTAGAACACGAAGATGGCAGATTTACTAGATTTTTTTATCTCATATTATGCTTGTTGGAAGGGTTTTGTCGATGGATGTAGACCAATTCGATGGCACCCATCTTTTTGATAGGTACAAAGGAACCTTGTTGCTAGCGCTTTGAATGGAGATGGAGGAATGTTTTTTGTCGCTCTTTGCATTTGTGGAATCGAGAATGTGAGCAATTGGGAGTGGTTCCTCGAATGCATTCGTGACATATTGTACAATTCTGATGATCCATATACTCTGAAGGATGAGCTGGTTATAAACTTTGATCGAGACAAAGGACTTTAAAATTCCGTCAAGAATTGCTTCCCTTGTTCATATCACAGTTATTACATCCGCCATTTTATGACCAATTATAAGAACAACTTGTCAAAGAAAGGGTTACCAACGCCACTTAGGGATGACTGTGTTCATATTATGAAGAGAGATGCATATGCCTACACAATGCATGCTTATCAACATGAATGCAACGAGCTAATAAGTCATCTGTTGCTTTCATTGAAATGCTGAATATTGAAATGTTGAATATGAGCCCACAAAACTGGGCTAATTGTTATTTTCCTGGAAAGAGGACACTATTTTTACATATTTTTGATCTTTGTGATTGAATTCTCTGATATGTGTGTTTGAACTTGTATGCATTTGAATAATCCTATAGCTATAACATGGTTGCAGGTATGGGTGGTTAACCTCAAATCTTGCTGAGTCCTTCAACGCATGGATTAAGAAAGCCCGATTTTTACCAATAGCGCAATTGGTTGATCACATCTGGGTGAAGATGATGAAAATGAGCTATGATAGACATGAGGTATCCAACAAACGGACTACACCACTTGTTCCTAGTGTAGAGGAGTATCTTCTTCTGATCAATGAGGGCGCATGTTATCTTCATGTTAATCTTTCTACGTCGATTTTGTATGAAGTATATGATTCCCCATCTGTTAAAGTGAATTTGGAGAACCGCATGTGTACTTGTCGCCAATGGCAAGCTCTTGGACTACCTTGCAAGCATGCGGCTACCGTAATCAGGCACAAAGATCAACTATTGTGTCCATATATTTCCGACTATTTCAGCACGGAGGTGTACCGCAAGTGTTACTCCTTTCCTAGATATCCAATTCCTGATGATTAGAAGCCAATTATAACCGATGAGGATATGGAGATTGGACCTCCATTAACCTCGATTCGTAAAGGAAGGCCAAAACAAAGCGGATACATTCTGGATTAAATCCTTCTAGAATGTTGAAGTGTAGCTGATGTAAGGAGTTCGGTCACAATTGACGAACATGTAACCAACCAATAGCTGACTCAAATATCATGCTTATGAATATTTTCAAATCAGTTTGATTGTGATCTTCATGGACTTATTATAGGTTGATCGATTATGTTTTGGTGGTGAAGATAAAAAAACAAACTATTTTGATTATCGTAAAAAGTGTAACTATTTCAGTTAGTTTTAATGTTTTTTCGGTGACATTTTAATGTTATTTCTGTTTGCTATACATTACTCAAACCCTTTCACATTATCTTATCAAAATTAACATTTTACATTTCCTGAGACAACTAAGTTGCAGAATTTCCAGAGAACAAAGAGCTATACTTTTTCAAAAACTGGAAAATTGAGAGTGGACCTATCGTCGAGATGAATAATTGATCAAGCAACACATCGAGATGAATAATTGATCAAGCAACACATCTTACACGTCAGCACACATTTACATTGCTAAAAAAACTGATTTGATTTATCCTACTAAGTTGCAGAATTTTTAAAGACCATAAAGAGTTATACTTTATCAATAGGGAGCTATACTATGGCAATAAAGTGCTATACTTTGCCATAAAGGGCTACACTTTCACGATAAGATGCTACACTTTACTATAAAGAGCTATACTTTTTTAAAACCTGGAAATTTGAGAGTGGACCTCTCGTCAAGATGAATAATTGATCAAGCAACACATCTTACACGTCATCACACGTTTACATTGCTCAAAAAAACTGATTTGATTTATCCCACTAAGTTGCAGAATTTCTAGAGACCATAAAAAGCTATACTTTATCAATAAGGAGCTATACTATGACAATAAAGTGCTATACTTTGTCATAAAAGGCTACACTTTCACGATAATGTGCTACACTTTACTATAAAGAGCTATAGTTTTTCAAAAACTGGAAAATTGAGAGTGAACCTCTCGTCGACATGAATAATTGATCAAGCTACACATCTTACAAGTCATCACACATTTTCATTGTTTAGAAAAAACTGATTTGATTTATCCCACTAAGTTGCAAAATTTTTAGAGATCATAAAGAGCTATACTTTATCAATAATGGGCTATACTATGACAATAAAGTGCTATATTTTGCAATATAGAGCTACACTTTCACGATAAGGTGCTACACTTTACTATAAAGAGCTACACCTTTTTAAAAACTTGAAAATTGAGAGTGGACCTCTAGTCGAGATGAATAATTGATCAAGAAAATTATCTTACACGTCATCACATCTTTACATTGCTCAGAAAAAAAACTGATTTGATTTATCCCACTAAGTTACAGAATTTTCAGAGACCATAAAGAGCTATACTTTATCAATAAGGAGTTATACTATGATCATAAAGTATTATACTTTACAATAAAGAGCTATACTTTCATGATAAGGTGCTACACTTTACTATAAAGAACTATACTTTTTAAAAACTAGAAAATTAAGAGCGGACCTCTCGTCGACATAAATAATTGATCAAGCAACACAGCTTACATATCATCAAGTGTTTACATTGCTAAAAAAAACTGATTTGATTTATCCCACTAAGTTGCAGAATTTCTAAAACCCATAAAGAGCTATACTTTATCAATAAAGAGTTATATTATGGCAATGAAGTGTAATACTTTGTCATAAAAAGCTACACTTTCACGACACGGTGCTACACTTTACTATAAAGAACTATACATTTTTAAAAACTGAAAAATTAAGAGTGGATCTCTCGTCGAGATGAATAATTGATCAAGCAACACATCTTACACGTCATCGCAAATTTATATTGCTCAGAAGAAAATATACTCTCAATTTATCCCACTAAGTTACAGAATTTTCAGAACCATTAAAAAGCTATACTTTATCAATAAGGAGCTATACTTTGACAATAAAATGCTATATTTTGCAATAAAGAGCTATACTTTCACGATAAGGTGATACACTTTACTATAAAGAGCTATACTTTTTCAAAAATTGAAAAATTAAGAGAGGAGTTTCAGAGCATCTTTCATATCTACCACTAAACATTGAATGAAAATAATCTAAAATCACCAATACTATCCAAACTCTGAAACGATACAATTTCAAATTCAATAGATAAATACATCATGGAGGTTGAATGAAAATAATCCAAAATTTACTCAAATTATGAAACAATACAATTTCAACAATAAGAATATAATTGCAGCATGAAACAACAATTACACATCACAACTACAAGAATCATCACACTTGCAACACTTTACTATGAAGAGCTGTACTTTTTTAAAATCTGAAAAATTAAGAGTGGACCTTTAGAGCATCATTTATATCTATCAATCACTAAACTCAAGCTCATAACATTGAATGAAAATAATCCATGGAGATTAGATGAAAATTAATCCAAAATCACCACTACCCAAACTCTGTAACAATACAATTTTAATAATAAGAACATAATTAAAACATGAAACAACAATTACATATCACCACTAACAAAATCAACACACTATGCAACATAACGTACAACATATAATAAATTTAACTGGACATTTATATTCAGTGTACAAAATCAACACTACCCAAAATTGACACTAAAATCAACACAAAATGTAAGCTCCTGCACAACTTCAATAATAAGGACATCCAAGACATATATATTCAGAATCTACTTCCTCGGTAAAAGCATGTTCTAACAGATTTTCTGATTCCTCCTAAATAAATGCAATAGCGATCTTTGCTCTTAGAAGTTCACAATTGTTCTAATGAATGAATGAAGGTGTGTCATTGATGATGGAATATATGTATCCCATCATGAAAATGCCGCAATCTAAGCTCCTGCACAAAAAAAATAACACATTCAATGATTACATGATAAAATAATAATATTTTATTAAAAAGTAACACATTTTAAGTTATAGTCATACCCATCCTGTTGAGGAACCTGTCGTGTTTCTATACTATACTCATCCATATTTTCTATTTTCCATTCATCCTTTATGCAAGCTAAGAAATTGGTCATGAACTTCTTGGCATCATTAAGATATTTAATGTATGTGAGTGATGAATAGTGATAAAAAAATTCTCAGACTTAATCAATTCCAACAAATGCCAATGACTACGGCTAAGAATAGAAAAAATAATCTTCTCGCATTCTTCAAAGCGTGCATGTGGAAGCTGTCGACCCTTGAGTTGTCTTGTCCAATGACCGGGATTATCTTGTAGTAATGCTCTGTTAAAACATGACCATAATATTTAACAAAAAAATAATTTAAATGATAGTAAATTTTCCTAATACTCACAGCAAAGAATGATCATGTGATGCGTATGTGCTTTGGACATGCTTCTATTTCAATCTTCATCTTAATCTCTCTATCATACCATCGACTAACTGAAAATTATGCATAATAAAATGATCACAACTAAAATATGAAAATATGCGAAAAAAAAACTATTAAAGATTGCGAACTTACACTATCAGAAATTGTCCTTTCAATAAGAAGATGATATATATCTAATCGAGTAACATATTGCTAAACAAATTCATCTCTATGACAAATGAAACATACACAAGTTAAATAAATGCAATATGAAAGGAAGAAAAACATAAAACGAAATGTATAAAGAAAAATCACATGTGTCTCACAAATTATACCTATTCATTCTCTTCTTGCAAACTTCATCAAGGAGTTTCCTCTCACTTTCATTTAACTTTTCGTTCGCCGGGTAATCGCAATTCTTAGGGATAAAATCAGTCCCTCTATTAACTTTCTTTCTCTTCTCAGGCGTTTGCAACTTGAAAACATTATCACTTCATTCTTTTCTTTACAACCCATACTCATGTTCGACGTTTGCAATTGAGAAACATTAATTATGTCCTCCTTTTTCTCATTACGGCCTCGTAGCCACGTATAAGGTGAACGATATGCACGTGTGGGTAAATGTTTCCTATCTCTAACGACCCATTTAATTGATGGGGTCCTATCTCTGATGTTCCTTTTACTTGGTGATGTCCCTGAAAAAGAAATAGCTAAGAAGTCATCATCGTCAACTAGCTCTTCCGCAATCATCTCGTCTTGTTTTTCATTCCTCTTGGATTTAGATCCACAGCTATATTTCTCACTCCTTTCTTTATCTTTAGTATTCTCTTCATGACTTTGTACTCCTTGTTCTTCTCTATTACCCTCATCATCCTCAACGTCATTCTCCTCAATATTTGTATCATCGTCATCCTCATCCTCCCCATCATTTGTATCGTCACCGTCCTCCTTGTCCTCTCAATCTTGCTCTTCACTTTCATCTTCGGCTTCATTGCCGCCGTTACCACCACTACTCAACTTGTTCTCTAACTCAATGAGCTCATCATACTCCTCTCTATTTTTTGCAAGCAATTTGTGTACTTCAAGTAATGTCATCACCTACAAATACAACACAATGAAAGGGTTAGCATTCAAGAAAGATATAATAAGTTGATAGCAACAAGACAACAATAGCAAAATGAAGTGTATATACCGATTGATGACGTGATGCGCTAGGAATGGATGATATAGTGGTTTGACTAATGAAATTCCTAATACATTTTGATTTTTCAATTAACCTCATCATCGCATTTCGCCGAAAGGATCGAGACTTCCTATTAATAAAAATGGGTCGTAAGGTTTCCTCTTTTATTTCACACTTTAGCTCCCCCACTATTTCATAAAACCAAACCTGAAAAAAAAACATATTTAGTTACAGCTATCAATATGTAAAAAAAATGATATAATTTTATTGAAACTCACCACCAATACCGATGCAAACCCACCCATGTACCCGACTCATTCCCTCTCTTCTAAGGCTCACTTTGAAATGGACAACTTTGCCTTCGTCATCTCCTTATGTAGTAAATCATACATAGCACCAACCTAATTGTAATTACGAAGAGCAAATAAATTGTCCGCATATCTAAATGCCCATAATGGACATGAGTTAGCGGGCTGAGGGCATAATACAAATCCAATAATAAAAGCCACAAGTAATTTCACACATGCTATATGATTGGAGCCCACCAACTCCATAATTAAATCAGCCATCCTTTTGTGTGTGCCCCACACTTTCTTCTTATCTTTATTCACATCCTTCTTCTCGACTTTCCTCTTCTTTCCCATACTGGCCTTCTCCTCCTCCTCCTCTATTTGGGACTTTTTACAATACACATGCTCAGTATATATAGTATTAGATGCTGGACCATCCATTATAACCCTATTTTCAATCTTTGGCAATCCAGTTATTTCATGCATATCAAGAACACTAAACACAAATATTTTCCCCCAATCCTAATTAAGCTACGCTCTGGATTAAATGCATGAAGCAAGCAATCGGCTGCAACTTGTTCATTAGGTATAGCAGGTAGATTAATGAAGTGGAAAAAAGTGGTTTGACGAAGGGCTTCGTAATGATTATCATTTAGCAAAGACCTTAAACGGTTATTTACCAAATCACGAAATACCCCAATATTTGAAGGCAATCTTAACTGTGCAACATTTTCCTACAAAAAGAATATATCAATCAAAACGAATAGCCCTTATAAATGTAAAAATTAAGAAATCGTAAAGCAAAGTGATAATAAATGAGACCTCAACAAATTATGGATGGTCATGGCATCGATGAACAAGAATTTCATAGAATGCACCAAGGAAAATAAAATCTGCCATTTCACAGATTCAATTTTTTTTTTACAGAGCATATGATTTCCTACAAATTACATGAATCATGTGAAAATTTACATCAGAGCAATTGTACGCATTTTCAAGAGGCATCTTTACTCGGGAAAAGTTGTCACTAATATTTAAACCAATTAAACAATAAGTCCCTCACCAATTATTGGGCTTCAAGGTCAGCTGCTTATAAGTTTTCACCTGAATGCATATATACACTTCTGCATGTTCCCACTAACTAACAACAATAATGTTCATAAAGAAAGGGATAACAACAACTCAAAGAGATGTCAACCGGCAACCGTATTTGGAAACAACGATTAGTGGTTATTGGTATTGTCAATGCACAGCAAGCAATGGATTGGGGATTCATTGGTGTAATGCTAAGAGGTCGTGCGACATGAAGACATTAATAACAATATGGGGGAAGTTCCCATCAGGCAACAACGGTTCTGCCTGACCCTACTCAAGCATGCATATGTTGTCAGTGAAGATTTTGTGTGAAGCTATTAATAGCAATATGGGGGAAGTTCCCATAAGGCAACAACGGTTCTGCCTGACCCTACTCAAGCATGCATATGTTGTCAGTGAAGATTTTGTGTGAAGCCTTGGAGACGACATACTCGGGCTAGGGTAAGCTGAGGGGGGACAGCGTAAGTGAGCGAATGTGTCGAATGAAAATTGGTGGCTGGGTTCTCTTTCTACAACCCTCATTATATGAGAGGCCCGGCCCCCTTCCCCCTATCCCTACCTTATGTTTAGGAGAGGGATTTGCCCAAGAACGACCTATGGTGGTACGGAAGGCACAGACTTCGCGAGCGTCCCGCACCCTCAGATAAAGAAACTCCTCAACCATCACAAGAAAAAACATGTATGACGCTATGTGTCTGACTCTATTGGTCATAGTTCCTTGCTGTTGCGGCCGGTGCTCGTTTGCGCGCGCGTGAACCACCCCCCCCCCCCCCCCCCCCCCAAAAAAAAAGGGAATTAAGGAAAAGATGCCTCTCGGGGCATCTGAATCATTGTTTCTAGTTTCTTGTTGGTGTTGATGCAGCTATTTTTATGTTATGCATGCGTTTGCATGTTTTTTTAGAGAAATTTCATTGAAATCTCAAAATTCTTTACTACATCCATTCCAATAATTATCAATAAACTTGTGTACATATTTATATATTGTTGGAGTTTTATATCTAGAAAGAAAAACTAGTTATATTACCAATATATTATATTTTACACAGTATAAGTGTATAACCAAATACAAAAGAAACTGAAGCACAACAGATAATTTATGTACACTTATACTATAGTATTTGATGCATGTCTTTGAATAAAATTTTTCCTATTCCATATAGACCTATGTTCTAGCTCTACATATTCTTTTTACATAATTGTCATTCTTTCATCAACAATTTTTCCATGAATCTAAATATCATTGTTTCATAACTGCCTCTTGCCTAAATATAGTCCGTTTTGACAATAATATTAATATGCCCTGTTCTGAAAATGCAAGAAAATCATTCTAATATTAGCAGATCAAAACTATTGTATATAATAGTATATGTCAACGGCAACAACAATTTCATTACTTAAAAGTAAAAACATAAGATAACAACACGAATCTTAAGCTAGAATAAGTTCCCAAATAAGGATCTAAAATGCAAGACAACAGCACCAATCTGACACTAATTCGAAAAACACCATTTCACACTAGCAGAAAATTTGTCTATTGCAAATAGAAATATAACATAAGTAGGATTATAGAACAAATTTTCACTGTAGCCACTTTTTCACTTTTTATTACCGAAATCGACTGTAGCAAGTTTTAATTCGTGAAATCGACCCGGTTTCTCGCCACGTCAGCGCCGTGGCGAGAAAGCGGGTCGATTAATTTTTAATCGGCTTCGTAAACAGTCGGGGTTGCCAACCCCGACTGTTTAGTCCATCGCCCGTTAAGAGGTTAACAAAATGGTCGGGGTTGGGAACCCCGACCATTTCGTAAGAGACCTATTTCGAAATGGTCGGGGTTCCCAACCCCGACCATTTAGCAGAGCCCAGCGATAGCTGGGCTGAACCACGGACAAAATGGTCGGGGTTGCCAACCCCGACCATTTAGCAGAGCCCAGCAAGCATCAGCGACGAAATGGTCGGGGTTCCCAACCCCGACCATTTTGCAGACCCCATTCCAGCCCACATTTACTTGGAAAACTCATACTTCCTGTAGTACAAAATGTAATCACAAATAATACATGCTAAAATGCAATCATACTCCTGTTATCAATTCACAATACAATCACAAACACAAATATAATACGTACAATTCATATTCGCAAACTTAACATTATATCAAATCCATCGCAACACAAACAACATATCAAGTCCAAATTGCAACTCAAACGCAAACATCCTATCAAGTCCATCGAAACTTAACAAATATCAACAACGCCCTTTCCCCTCCCTCTTCCTCTCCCTCTCCCTCTCCCTCTTCTTCCTCTCCCCCTTCCTCGATCACCTTCGACGTGAGCTCGGATAAGTTCCTCGTCCGGTTGTGTGTGAAGTTGGGAGTGCATGATATCCGTGTCGTCTCGAACCTCCTGTGAACATTCGGCCTGAGTCTGCTGTGAGCCGCCAGCTTCATCATGCGCATAGCTTGATCCCGCCCTCGTGTGTCCTCGTCGACGTCGCCGCCCAAACTCAATTGGTTGCTCCTCCCGTCCATCACGGTTTGCGTGACGCGTCCTCTGAAGAGCCGACCGTATCTTTTTTATCATTCGAAGGAACATGTTCCTCGGCTCCTGCTCGGTAGTCGTGCTCAATGCGTCATGTGCCATAGTAGAAAGCTCCTCGAGCTCTTGTACCTATAAAATAAAAACCGAAAGAAAATTATTATCAAGTGGATGTTGAGAAAATAAAACTCAGAAAATAATTGTATATTTTTCTTATACACTTACCAACTCTCTCTCGACTGGGCCTCTTGGTATGTACTCCTTCGGGGCTTTGTTTTCCTGAAATATCCACCGACGAGTAATCCCCCAATACCACCGCGGGTACACACCTAGGTCAGGTGCATCAGCCCTCTCCATCACTACCTGTTCCTCCCTTAAAACCCACCTATGGATGTAATTTTGGCGAATTATTTGCCAATTAGCACGATGTGCACCTTTTCTTGGATCTCTCTCTATTCTCTCCACAGGCGCTGGAATATGTTGCCGTAGTCCAAATTGTCGAAGCACACGATCAGGCACGTGCATTTCGACAATCTCAAAGCATATAAGGGGGACGCGAGCACGCCATACATCCTCACCTTCTCGGCAAATATCCGGTAGTGACTCCAACACTAGCTCGTAGGGCATCCATTTGACCTATAAAGAAGATATTATGATATATTGATTGAATATATTTAGATATCGGTAACAATTGATCGCATAATTGAATATATTTAGATAATATAATTTTTATACCTGTTCATCCTCCATCTGATCAAGCTCATTTCTGTAAAAGTTTTCATGCCCCTTTGGAGAGGTTTGCCAAGATCTGGACACATTCCATCTATTTTATATACAACGGGTTAGTATATATTGAAATAAAGCACTAAAATTACATGCATCTTAATAATACCTGCAGCCTAACGGAATATGCCCATCGAGAGCGCGGGCCTCCCTCAAATCAGGTGTTCCCATATGCAATCGCTCCCATGACCATATCTGCAGCAAAGTGAGGCAGCCCTTCAATTCTTTATTTTGTACGAGTGCTATTTTCGTCATCTCTCTATACAAGTAGGCTAACACTGCACTCCCCCAAGATAACTCTCCACACTCTTCTAGGTCCCCAAGAAGCGGTAACCATCTCACGTGCACGGAATCCTTAGTGGAATCCGGAAACAGAATAGTACCGATCATATGTAAAATATATGCACGGGCATAGCGCTTAATGATCTCATCAGTCGCATCGATCGGTACATTACTAAAGTTATTCCTTAACCATTCGAGTTTGATCTTTCCCCCCTTCATTGTAGTGTAAAAAAATCCATGATTGCATTATGCAATTAAAGCCCTTGTCGGAGTATTTTATTACCAAAAACACTATATATATATATATATATACTTCATTGCTAAAAGTGGCTTTCATCCCATTTCCAAGCTCAAAAGCTAGGAAAATGGATTCTAAAGAAAAGTCTCATTTTGGGTGAACATTTCTATAGATTTATGCCCCCTCAAACAAAACAAACAAAAAGAAGAAGAAGAAGAAGATATTCTAAGAAATTATTAACATGGCGGAACCAAACAAGCTCTAAATCGAGAGGATGTTTATCTGTTTGGGATTGTTAGGCTAGGACAATTGCCCAATAATCATACATCCTAGACTTTTTATTAAGACTAAAGAAATTTGTGCTAGATATTTAGATAGACTTTTTGAAATTTTTCGATAGAATTCAAAATGGTGGAGTTTCGGACTACATTTATATTCATGGACTACGTGAATTAGGATTGTGACATATTACTTATTGTGTAAATAGTAACTATGACCAATATAACTACAAATTTAGTTAGTAAATTAGAAGTTTAGTAAATTGTTAAATCAATAAAGTTAGCTATATAGTTTAGGGTTTTCGAGATATTGGTGCCTCAAATCTTATGTGCTTTGAAAGAAGTCCTCCAAATCCTGATATATATTTTTAAATAAATCCCTCAAAACCTACAACTTGTCCCAAATTAGTCCAAGTTAGCCTTTTCTGTTAGAAACTAACTCGATTAGGAGTGAAAATAGTCATACGGCGAATACCAAATCGTTGTTCCTCTCACTGCAGGAGGAACGAAAGACAACAAGGAGGAGCTTAAATATTAATTGGTTGAACACTGTTGACTATATCGCTCATGCATCTAATTAACTTTCTATAAAGTGAGTACTAATCGAATGATCTTACCAAGACCGATTTTTATGATCGGAAACATTGTATTGAATCACACAACCTCTCTACAAGACTTCTTCATAACTTGCTAAAGAAAACTTTGCGCTCCATTAATGGGCTTTAACGTGATGTTGTAGACTTGCTCACGCTTATTACTTGGGGCAAGATATACAGCGGAGTAGTTGAGGACCATTAATGGGTTAAATTAACGGTGTTAGACCAAAGGGCTTATTTGAGGTTAGTT